AATGTGTGACCAGTGGGATCATTCATCATAAGTATCCTCTCCATTATTTTTGGGGTGGGGGAAGCATTTCTTCTCAATGTGCACATGATTTATTTAATCCTTTTCAAAATGTTTTTGAAGTCTGTTCCTTACATGCTTTTAGAATTACAGATGATAGTGCCATCATCATTCTTGTACACAAAACTTTGGTTCTTCTGCAGATATTTCCATAGCATAGAGAACTGGATGTGCAATTGCTACATTACAGTGTTTATGTAGGGCTGCTAATTTTAGTAAAGTCTACAAATTTACCTTCCATAGGCAGGTAAATTGTTGATTTAGGAGATTAACTTTTGAATTGGACCAAATCATATTTCCATTTATTTCCCAACTCTGTCAAATAACCTTTCTTCACTTATTTGCCAGCACAGCAAACTTTCTACGCATCTATCTTTGATAGTCTACTAAGGGGAGTGGTGCCCCTGGCTTAACTAGGGGGAGGTACAACAGAAAGACACGGTGGACATTATACCCAGGTGTCCTTTCTATATATTGGATAGCTACACTTTGAACATATTTTAAAGTCCTCCAATATCTGTAATGGGTCCAGAGGAGATGGGCCAGAGAGACCTCTTTGGTAGCTTTCTGCCAGTCCCATTTTTTTCTCTTCCCTTTTCCTCTTTTGTTTATAAGTCTTGGTTTTGCTTTTATTTGCTCAAAACAAGCTAGTACTGACGCTCCCTTCTCTACCATGATGAATTAGCAAGCAGGTAACTGTCTCTATAGTATTCCTGGACAGATTTCAGTAGGGTTATTGTATAAAACTTAGTCCACCTGAGGCTCTATTCTGTTGACATTGGAGCCAATAGAATCCTGCATTTGACAGGCAGCTGGTGCAGGCCTGCACCCTGGCTCCGGTTCCCTGGTTTCTTCTATGGATTTTCATGGGCAGAAATTGAGCTCTTTGGCATTTATATACTATCTATGGTTATTGGACAAGTCCTTTTCTCCCTCTCTCAGTTTTCCATCAGTATGTTCTCCCATCAGTGGCATCAGTGTGGGTTTCTGGTTTCGATGTTATGAGGCAAACTTTGGAGGACAATCTCTCTTGAGTGGTGGTTGACAGGTATTCATTCTCTGATTGGTGGTGCATGTCAGCTAAATTTAGTCTGTGAGTCTTTTTGATCGTCTGTTTATTGCCTGGAGGATTCTGGTATTTCCTGTTATTTGTGACTGCAGTAATGGAAAGTTGTTCACATCTTGTCTTTTTTTTTTTTTTTTTTTTTTTTTGAGACAGAGCCTCAAGCTGTCCCCCTGGGTAGAGTGTCATAGCATTACAGCTCACAGCAACCTCCAACTCCTGGGCTCAAGCGAGTCTCCTGCCTCAGCCTCCCAAGTAGCTGGGACTACAGGCACCCGCCACAACGCCCGGCTATTTTTTGGTTCCAGCCATCATTGTTGTTTGGCGGGTCCGGGCTGGGGATTCAAACCCGCCACCTTAGGTGTACGTGGCTGGTGCCTTAGCCGGTTGAGCTATAGGCGCCGAGCCTTCACATCTTGTCTTTACAGTCTTTGGTAAAAATCTTACAGACCCAACACTTGTCAGTATCTGCAAGAGTGGCCTGTCTCTGTATAACTGAGGCAGGGGAGTGAAGCAGAACTAGACTGTGTCCCAGTAACTCTGTGCAGGCATTAGCCAAGCAGTCTGTGATGAGTGTGACACTACTAATTACAACCCCCACTGCAGCAGATGTTCCTATTATCTATATGCTCTTCAGAGGATGCACATTGAACCCATGTAGTAACTTTGTAACTTCCTTGACCTTCTATTGTTTTAGAGGACAGGCTACTTAAGATGAAGGGTCTGTTAATCAGAGACAAAGTACCAGACAGGCTCAAGTGGTTTGTGAGATAGATAGATATCTATATAGATAGTCATATACGTGTGACCTGCAGATAGGTCTTGCATAGCCTTAGGCCTATTAATGGGTTCCAGAAGACATCTCTAAGAAGGGGAGGGGAGCATGATAAAGCATATCTGATCTTCTTTCTCATGGCTAGCAGCTCAGTTTTAGGGATCCCCTTGGCCAAGAGGGGGGCAGGTCCGGTCAGTCAGTCACTGAGAGGAGGAAGCCTTAAGATTTTATTTTAGTTCACACTTGTCTTATATATACCAGAATATTATGATACCATTATTTTCTACATTATGAGAAAATCTGAAAGAAAATACAGAATATACATGTAATAGGTGTTTGGGGGTTTGTTTGTTTTGTTTTTTGAGACAGAGTCTTACTCTGTCATCCCGAGTAGAGTAAGTGGGATCATCTTAGCTCACTGCTCAAGCTCATTGCTCGTGGGCTCAAGTGATTTTCCTGACTCAGCCTCCCGAGTAGCCAGGACTACAGGTGTGCACCAACATGCCCAGATAATTTTTTTCTGTTTTTGGTAGAGACCCGGTCTTGCTCTTGCTCAGGCTCTTCTCAAACTCCTGAGCTCCAGGGGCTGCTTCCCCTCAGCTTCCCTGAGGCTGGGATTGGAGATGGAGCCACTGGGCCAGGCTCCCCCATGTACTGGGTTTTTGACCATAATTATTAAACCAAAATTTGTCAGAGGACATACACTGATTTTTTTTTTTTTTTTTTGGCTAGGGTCAGGTTTGAACCCAACATTTCTGGTATATGGGGCCAGCACAAAATGACATAACAAATGTTTTCAATGCCATTACATATCAGATGTTTAAATTCTTTGAATTGTTTAAAAGTATTAAAGATTCCTCCATGCTATCAATTTCATTTCCTTTCTCATCCCAATAAAGTCCATTAACTTAATATACAGCTATAACTACATATTAGTTCTCATATTACATTTTCATCATACAAATTCAGCAACAAAACTTTGGACTTAGTGAAACATCACATTTAAAGCACAGATAGTAAAACATTTTTCAAGAAATTCTTGATTTCTCATTTTAAATTTACAACAGTGATTTTTTTTTCCTTTGGTGAGACAGTCTCACTTCCCCCAACCCTATTCCATAGGAGCTCTTGGCTTTAACAAATTATTATACCCAAAAGGGATCTTATGCAGAAAGAAAATTGAATTCTTTTCATGCAAAGGGCAGCTTTCTTTCAATGGTATACTCAAAGTTTCCAAACAGCTGAAGAAATTCAAATAAATGTCCTTTAAAGATTGTTCAAATCGCACTACAGAAAGAAGAGATTTGTATCATGACAAATAACCGATTGAATCAGCAACATGAGCACTTCTTACAACTATACAAGTCAAATTGAATAATGTCCAGAACATGAAGAAAGTTCACACCTTACTAAAAATGAATGAAAAGCAATGTGGCATCCACTGTTATATACTCTGGAAAGAGAATGTCCTGTCAAATACAAAAGGGCACTCAGATTTACCTAATAGTACTTAATTACTTTCTTTTGTTTCCCTTGCTAATAAGCATTTTTTTTTTTTTAGACAAATCTCCCTATGTCATCCTCAGTAGAGTGCAATGGCATCATAGCTCACAGCAACCTCCAACTCTAGAGCTTAAGCAATTCTCTTGCCTCAGCCTCCCAAGTAGCTGGGACTACCGGCACCCACCACAACGCCTGGCTATTTTTTTTGTTGCAGTTATCATTGTTCTTTGGCAGGCCTGGGCTGGGTTCGAACCTGTGTACATGGCTGTTGCCCAAGCTGCTGAGCTACAGGCACCATGTCGCTGATAAGCATTGTTAATAGATAACCACTGCCTCTGTTTCCACTTTAAATGGTATTACTCACTACTATTGTTTCCTTTAGAATGCCCACTAGTTTGATGGAATTTTTCTACTTAATAAATATAATGTTTTTTGTTTTATTTTTTGCAGTTTTTGGCCCGGGCTGGGTTTGAACCCACCACCTCTGATATATGGGGCCAGCGCCCTATTCCTTTGAGCCAGAGGCGCCACCCAATATACTGTATTTTTTCATGAAACAAATTGGCATGCTCTTCCTCTGGAATGAATACACAGATTTGGTCTCCAAACATTTGAAGGTGTTACTGCCCCAAGTATCTTGAGGGTAATAATCACTTATGTAGGGCCAGGTACAGAAGGTTCATGCTTGTAATCCTAGCACTCTGGGAGGCTAAGGCAGGAGGATCCCTTGGGTTCAAGACTTTCAGATCAGCCTGACCAAGAACTAGATCTTATCTCTACTAAAAATAGAAATAATTAGCCTGGGTTTATGGCAGGCCCCTGTATTCCCTTGGCGCATCTCCAGGCCAGTCATGAGAGGCGGGACCAAGCAACTTGCTCTGGGACTTGTATCCCTGACAGGCCTGGTGGGAACCTCCATTATCTGCAGAAGACTAGTCTTATTTCTTTTGTTTAGGCAGTGAAGAAGTGGCAGATGTGTGTGGCAGGGATGTTAGGATCCGCGCATGATGACCGGCTGCCGCGGGAATTGGGAAGCAAGAGCTGCACCTGTTTTCTGAGGAGAGCAGGGCCACTCTGGATTCTGGGTATAAAGGATATTTATCATGCCAGAGGTTATAGTCAGTTATTAAGAATTTTGTCAACATAAATGACACGGAAAACTACCTTCTTATCTCATCAAAGAAAACTTGTGTTATCAAACTCTTTTCTCTCATCAAAGAAAACTTGTGTTATCAAATGCGGACGCTAACCTGCCATGAAAGAAATCAGTTTATTGAAAGATGGGATCGAGTCTAAAATGTTCAAACAGGGAACTTCATGAACGCTTCACGAAATACCTACCTACAATAATATTCCTACCTATAAACACATTTGCAAACTTCTCACAGGTTTTTATATTACTACTAAAAAAATTGGCCATGAAAAATCGCAAACCATAAATTACACGGTGGAGTTTTCCCACATTTGAGGAAATATCAGAAGTACAGCTCTCACAGACCAAACCACATAATTTTGGTCTCCTGAAAAACCACCTTCCCCATCACAGTAACTATCAGGTACAACTTTACGTTTATGATGCCTGCAGCACCAACACATCCTCACCTGCCTCGCACTTACGCACATGGCAACTTGCCTCCGCGCACTTCCTTTCCACACATCCGGTACACTGCTTTCCCACAAACGGTCCTGGACTTGCTCCCATACCACCAGAACGCTAGGAAGTTCAAGCAACAGACACCCACGAGTCAGCCCCCGCGCCGCCCTATCTGCATAGTACCCGCCTTAGCCATGACGTCACTCAAAGCGCCTTACCCTACTGCCCACGCGAGCTCTCTCAGCCCTCCGTCGCCCCGCCCCCAGGCCAGCCAGCAGGCCAACCCCAGCGCCGGCAGCTGGTGGGGGAAGTGACGCCAGCTTTTCACTACTTCCCTTCTACCTCGCCAGCTGGGACTCTGTGGGGAGTTGGGGTGTGATCTGTCCCTGCAGAGCGAGGTGGCCTACTTGAAATAATGACTTTTCATGTGCAGAATCGAACCTTTCGTATAGAGGAGGGGAACTGGTTCCTACCACATTCGATTATCTATGTTATGTGGTCCTTTGTATTTCTTTATTAAAATGCATTAAACATTAAACCTGGTGGGGTTTTCTGTGCTCTTTTAGAAAGTTCACTATAATTCAAAAACTTTCATTACCGGTATTTTCAGTCTGTTAGTACAAAAGGTGTTTTGAGGCGAGTTTGGTGGCTCACACTTGTTGTCCTAGCACCCTGGGAGGCCGAGGCTGAAGGCTCCCTTGTGCTCAGGAGTTCAAGACCTGCCAGAGTAAGACCGGGACCTCCAGCTCTCCTAAGATTAAAACAAACAAACAAACAAAAAACAGCCGGTACTTGTGGCAGACGCCTGTAATACCAGATACTCTGGAGGCTGAGGCAGGAAGTTCAGTTGAATCTGGGAGTTTGGAGTTGCTCTGTATTGCTGTAAGGGTCTCACGGAAAAGCCATGTCACGAAGAATAAGCATGCTTATTGAAATTGTGTTTTAAATAAAGGTGACCATCTGCTTGCTCAGGCAAAATGACGAGCTTTCTTTATTTGCTGTTGGTTTAATATAGGCAACTTTGTGTATGTGCGCTATACAGCAATGACCTCATTAACAGTCATTACGATCCCTCTACACATGCGCATTGGGCATCAATGACTTCATTAATTTCAACGTCTTCTGACCACCGCCTTGTAAGTAGCTCCTCTCTACTAATCTGATAATCCAACACCCAACATACACCTTTAAGCATAACCCTTTCAACCTAACCTGGTTTAACATAACTTAATGAAGAACATGTCAGTCATTACTTTCTTTGTTCTTATCTGATGAAGCCTGAGGCTACAGGGGAAAGAGACGATTTCAATGTCTGTTCTACTGACCAGGCAGTTACTTCAAATCTTCAAGCAAAGCATAGAGAAACTTCTTGGGCATACAGGAATTTGTGTGCAAACCTCTGCTCCCATGTAGGCCTTAAGTCAGGGGGTTTTACTGGAGCTTTTTTTTTTTTTTTTTTTGAGACAGGAGCCTCAAGCTGTCCCCCCTGGGTATAGTGCCGTGGCATCTCAGCTCACAGCAACCTCCCACTCCTGGGCTCAAGCGAGTTTCCTGCCTCAGCCTCCCAAGTAGCTGGGACCACAGGCGCCCGCCACAATGCCTGACTATTTTTTGGTTGCAGCTGTCATTGTTGTTTGGCGGCCCGGGCTGGATTCGAACCCACCACCTTGGGTGTACATGGCTGGCGCCTTAGCCACTTGAGCCACAGGTGCTGAGCCTACTGGAGCCTTTTGTAAGGAATTCTCAGGCTGGATTTCTCAAAAGCCTTTCATAAGCCCAGGTTTCATCTGTGCCATTAGATACCTATATGCATTGGGCAAATTCCTCTTTTCTTGAGGTCCCCTAGGACATTACTATTCCGAGACCCATCAGCAAGCGACCTTCCTTACACACCACAGATCAGGAAGGGTTACTCCATTCCCTGACCCGTCAGCAAGCGACCTTTGTCACTTACCATAGATCAGGAAAGGTTACTGATGGTATCTGGCCAGTTTTCCAAAGGGCTTTTTCATTGGCCTTATAAAGTCAACCTTAATTCCTTAATGCAATCTGGAAATGCTATTCCAGCCAAAGCCTTGGTCATGTTAGGCCTGCAACTAACCTGGCCATATGGGATTCTGCCTCAGTTTCTCACAACTGTGCCTGCACAAAGTCTTTTCACTGCTCTCTCTCAATCGGCATCTTTGGCCAGAGGCATATATAGGCAGCTCATCTATAACCCTATTGGGCTAATTTTCTCTGTCCTCATTCTATAGTGCATGTTATTTGCGTTTGGATCTCTTAGATTGATCTACTTTCCTGAATTCTGTTTTGTTTTTGTTATAGCCCAACCAGGGACCTTGCCCTCTGCCCAGGAGAGGCCAATATACTGAGGCTGCAGGTGGTGCCATGGAAACAGTTTTATTTCGCAAGGTGCCATGTAAGGTGATGGGAGTAATTTCTCAAATCCATCTCCCCCTGATAATTTGGGAGAAACAATTTTTAAAAGACAGTTTAACGGACAAAGGGCTAGGCAGTTGGATCTGTTTATGCACAAGGGATGAACTCAAATGGCAGATTTCCTTGAGGTCGATATCTTAAGGATGTTGAATCGGTTCCCTTGGGTACCCCCCTTTTGCATTGTCTAAAAAATACTGCAAAACCAGTCTTAAGGGTTTACAGTAGCAATGTTATCTTGCACTGGTCAGGTAGGATAGTGTCCTTAAGCAGTTACACAGTAAGGAAGTTAAGGAACAACAGCTGCTTAACAGTTGGCTATATCTGTACTTTTATAACTATGGGATTTTGATTGCTATTCATACCTTATGGCTCTATTTCAATATAGACAGTTTCGTTTTGACTTTATTTTGGTTTCTAGGAAGTATTCTTGATGTGATCCTTCAATTTTGGTCTTACTTTTTTTGTACTGTAATTTCTAACGTTTTTCTCTGAATGTTCCTTTCTTGTGACTGGTTCTTGCTTTTTTTGTTTTTGCTGTCTCTGTGACTATTATACAATTTTTAAAGACATTTTCTTCTGTGGAAAATAAATATTGTGTTTCTGCTTCTACTACACCATATCCTTCCAGCTTATCAGATTCTAGCCCAGTTCACTGACTTTGAGCTATTTAGCAATTCTTTGCTATAGGTTACTGATAGATAAGCTTTTCTTTCTATTATTAACTATAATTACCTCCCTCTTGAGGATTAGTGCAGTTTTCATTTGTGATTCATCTGTATGTTGCTTTGCTCTATATGAATTTGGGCTATTTGAACTCTTATTTTGAACAGATTGTAGCACCAATCTGGTACCTTCTCTCATCTGAGTAAATTTTTTGATTCATGTTCAGTATTATAAGTATATGTGAATCATCATTTTCTTTTACCTGAAATTTATGTTTAACACTTCTTTCTGCACATGTTCCACACAGTACAAGTTGTCCATTTTAGGAAATTCCCTCATTCACATTACATTGATGCTGGATATTCTCTGTTCCTCAAGATTCCCTCTTTCTGGCTTGGTGCCTGTAGTTCGAGCAGCTAGGGCACCAGCCACATACATTGGAGCTAGTGGGTTCAAATCCAGTCCAGGCCCGCCAAACAACAATGACAACTATAACAACAACAAAAAAAAATAGCTGGGCATTGTGGCAGGCACCTGTAGTCCCAGCTGCTTGGGAGGCTCAGGCAAGAGGATCATTTAAGCTCAAGAGTTTTGAGGTTGCTGTGAGCTGTAATGCTGAGAGAGGATACCCAAAAAGGGTGAGGTCTGGGAGAACAGGTCTTCTCAGGGAGACCACAGGGATACACCTGCAGGGTCCTCTCCCTGGTGACTCAGCTCTTGGGAATTTGTAGACTTAACTTGCTGGAACCTGGAAATTTCCAAGTTCTGTAAAATCCTGTATTCTGTAGGGGCTGGACTAGCATCTCCCGCTAACTCCCGCTTGATTCAAACTGGCCAATGGGAAGGGTACTTGTGGGGTGGAACTTTTTGACTGTCAATAAAAGGAGAAAGACCAAGCCTGTTGGTGAGCGTGGCCATTTGGAAATCTATGCTGTAAGCTCCCGGCTGATGAATAAAGCCCTTCCTCTTATAAACATGGTTTTAGGGTGCTCTTTCTCTCCGATAGGCCTCGTCTTCCTGCAACAAAGCACAACACTCTACCCAGGGCGACAGCTTGAGACTCTATCTCAAAAAAAAAAAAAAAAAAAGATTCCCTCTTTCTATTTCTCTCCTGATCTTCTGATTTGTAGGCCTAGGACACCAGCACTTCCATCTTTTCCTGGGCTTCCTTGACCTCTGGTTTCCAGGTAGGTACAGCCAATGGATGATCAGGAGATAGGAGAGGCGAGAGGTCGGGGTATTTTTAAAGCTTCTGATGCCAGCCCTGCCTGTTTGCTGGTGGTAAAGAATAACAGTATTCATGGTGATACAGCTTGTGGAGCTAGGGGGCAGACCAGCTGCCTCTGTTTTGGTGGTGCTGATGCAGTGGCAGGGAGCAGAGGAACCAGTGGGCTGGAGGGTAGGCAGCGGGGCCCTGCAAGAGGCTCCAGTAGCCAGAGAGGCCAGATAACTGCTGGGTAGACAACCAGCACCTTAGGCTGAACAGGGAACCCCCCCCCATTTTCTAGGCCTGGTCAATTTCATGTAAGTTTCCTAGGCCTGGGAATGAAAGGCATTGTAGCCATTAATTCATGTCCCAGAAGTGTCCCAGACATACTAAATGTAACTACAGAGGGTCCCAGACACTTAAATGTAACTACAGAGGGCCCCATGTGACTATATATACCCCTAGACAAAGAGCCTAGAGACAGAGAGACAGACAGACAGAGAGCTTTTCTCTGCCGACTTGGGTTCTCTCTCCCTGACAGGAGCTTTGGTGTTTTTGTATTCTTTTCTGGAAATAAATCCTGTCTTACCACTGATCTGTGGTCTGTGGATTTATTCTTCAAATCACCGAGATGAGACCAAGAACGTACTGAAGACGAAATTCCCATATCAATGGTGCTTGCTAAAGAATGGTAAAGCAGGCTCAGCGCCTGTGGCTCACGGGGCTAAGGCCACATAACATACACTTGAGCTGGCAGGTTCAAGTCCAGCCTGGGGTCTCCAAACAACAATGATGGCTGCAACCAAAAAATAGCCAGGTGCCTATAGTCCTAGCTGCTTGGGAGGCGGAGGCCGGCGAATCGCTTGAGCCCAGGAGTTGGAGGTTGCTGTGAGCTGTGATGCCACAACGGCACTCTACCCAAGGTGACAGCTTGAGGCTCTGTCTCAAAAAAAAAAGGAATGGTAAAG